TAGTACACTCATATTTATGTGTATAGAAAAATATTAAATACAAAATTAAAAAAGAAGAAAAACAAGAGAAGCAAAACAATGGAAAAATCTGAAAATTCGTAGTTTTTTTTTTTTTTGCAATATTAGCCTGAATTTAATTGCATTATCTTTCAATTTCTGAATGTGTTTGCTGACTAAAATATGATGTTCATAAATAAATCAGTTTAATAAATGTGTTCTGTTTAAATGCAGCAGAATACGCTGCCTATATTGACTGAGAAATGGAGGAAAGTCTTGGTTTTCAGAATGGGCTGTCCTCCATTATGCTGAGCGCTGTATGTGACTTATACAGCCGCACATATAATATTTATTTGAAATGGTGTAAAACGTGTTCGCCAAACTCTCTTGTGCATTAATCCAGCATTTAATAATCATTTCTGAATGAGTCTGAGACACTGAAGTAGAGGAATGACAAACGCTTTAAACACAAGAATAAATCAGATTTAAACATGAAAAACAATTACTGTAAATCTAAATCATATTTGAAGAGCTTTAATAAAGATTTCACTAATAGTTGCAGTCTCAGTTCACTGTTTGAAAACTTTACCAGGTTGTGTCTGTCTGTGGGTGTCGACATTCAACATCACTTTCTGTGTGAACAGCCCTTAAGTCTTACCAGATGCAGAGCTCAAATGTGATGGGGTAATATTTTGTTTATATTGATATAAACTTCTACAGATGATGTCGAGTCCTTGTTGAGTGTGTGAGTGTGTGTGTGTGTGCTGATGCGAGGGCTCGATCAATAAGGAGAGCTGATCAGGATGTGTGTGTTCATCACTGCTGTTGACATGAGCAGAAACATATGGAATCATTTTTGTGCCAATAAGAATGAACATAACTTTCTAAAACTGAACGTAACTTTCCAAGAAACGATCAAAAATATGCCACTGCAAAAAGAAGAAAAACACAATGAAAACAAAAATATGAACTCAGTCGCACGAATTTAACATGCTCTTCAAATATGCTTCATTCTTTGTTAATGATTTTCAAAGAATCGTTTTCGTGAATCATGGATTTTGAATGCGTTGCCACAGTTTTCGCTTCCGCTTCGTAAATTTTCGTTTGCTGTTTTGGCACAAACTTCTCGTGGGGGCGGGCTTAACAGCGATCTACACTGATTGGCTAATGAGCTTTTGATGGACAGTTGCTCTCTGACCCGGAAGCACAGACGGTGACGTCAGTGGCGCGCATATCGGAAAGTTGTTGCGGTGTGCAATACGTCGTGCTTTATGTTAAGTATTAATGTTAGCATTTTACCTACGGTCGTCTCTTAGTTTCTAAAGATGACCTCCCGGGAGAGACACGGAGCGGTGCCATCATCTTCCACCTCAGCTTGTCCCTCAGGGCAGCTTGAAGTAAGTTCGTGTTGCTAAAGTAACTTTTATCAATAACAACAATAAAAGTTTTATTCATGTACAGTGTGCAAGTTATTTTGCGGGTTATTGTTGTTATTCACAGGTTTGCAGTGCACTGATGTTATGTCATGTAGTTTAATTGTTTTAATTTTAGGTAGATTGCTGTATTATACAGTTATACTTAAGGACGTGTCATTGTAGTGCAGGTATCAAACTGGTCTTTATATTCTACAGCAAGGCATTAATCTTGGTGCAGATGCTGCATCTGCAGCTGTACATAACATCCTTGAAATTCTTAACCAGTCGCTCGGGAAAACCAGCACAAGGCAGGGTCAGCACTCGGGACAGAGTCAAACAGTGGACCAAGAGATGGCCAGGTTTCAGTTTTGCAGTCATGACAATAACAAATAGCAACACTTTCCATTTATAATACATTTTAACACTATACATAGAACAGTGGTAGTAGTTAGGGGCTATTTTTGAGGTTTTGTTGTGTTCCCAATAAACATATCCATGTATTAAATATAATTCAATAACGTTAGTAATTTTTATTTTCAAATTATTGAAGGTCTTTCCCTGGATTTTTTAAGCGTGGTTCAAAAAGACGGCTACCCAGCTTTAGCAGACCAGCGAAGCTCAACAAACTATGGAAACCTTTTGTGTTTTCAGTGTTTCTTTTGAGTAAAAATACAGACATGGTCCCTTCATCAACTGAAGAGGTGCAACTTTTGCAAGCTGGCTTGGGTAAACGGAATGTCACTATGCCTGATGACTTGACACATTCACAGGTGATGCATGTTTATACTGTAAGGTCCACCCAGTTGGCCCAATGCCGGTGTCCACTGGTGGATGAAGGTTCACTGCATGTTCGGTCTTTCCAGTGCACAATGTTGATTTATATTAAACTTAACTCATATCTGACTCCAATTTTAGTATGAGGTGGTTTAGAATATTAATATATTTATCCTCGTTTTATCTGACTCCAATTATAAAACATTAAGAAGATTATATCAATATGTAATTTAGATAAATGTTTGAACCGTTTGTCTTCACTAGTAACTATTACATCCGTTCATTCGGGTGCTCATGTCGCTCAGAGAAATCGCCTCGGCCGAAGGCGTCCCTCACGGTCACACTCCGGTCAGTCTTGAATATTAAACAGAGGTAAATTGACTAATACTTTAGATGGCCGCTACCAGCGCGCTCGTTCTAAAATACTTTAGTTAGTCCCGCTTAGATGTACACCTTTGAGTTAAGACAATCATCATTTCTAATTAGAGGTTAGGGCATTAATATAAATGTACCCGACTACTGGACTCTATAGTAACTTTGGTTTTCACCAAGCCCATGGTTTCCCATATGAACTTAATTTAGAATGATATTACCTTCAAACAAAGGTCGGGTACCCAATCTAGGTTAGTCGTGCAACACCTTGTTGACCTAGACGGAAGTTATCGCCCTTTCCACCTAAGTACACATGAATCAATATCAAGAGTCAGCCGGATCGCTAAAACACAATTAGTGTGCCAATGCTCCATCTCAATTGGATTTTAGTCCGTCTACTGACCTGACGCAAGACGTGCGGAAACAAGGATACAGCGTAATCTACTTAAATTAATAATTACAGAGTGAGCAAAATATGGTCAAACATTACAATTTATTAGTCAGGTAAATGTATTATGCCAATTCAATCAGTCAATTCATAAATGATCAATACAAAACATGAAATTATCAAAGATAAGTCCAAGATGAAAAAGATGCATTCCTGACTTCGTAATATACATAACATGGGGCAGACCCCATGTTATGGGCTGATCTGGTTAGGCAGAATCGCCTTGAGCTTTTCTTAGCCCTTACCTTAAATAATCCAAGAATTCCCTCAAGGAAGGGGGTGTGAATGTATAACAAAAGGCATTCACACTTAGTGTCACACCCCTCACAGTGGTTCAAAAGATGCCTGAAGTTATATATTTATTGTTCTGATTATGTCTATTTCTGAGAGAATGAGACCATTGTACCAATCGCACTGAGACATTTCAAATGATATCAAACATGATAATTAAAGTCAGTTTGGTTAATCTAAAACATTCAAACATTGAAATGACCATATGCGTGAGTTGGGGGATGAAGCTGAGTTTCAGATGCAAATGCAGCAGGAACTGGTTTTTCCCGCATACCCCTTGCTGAGTTGTGAAGTTACCAGTCTCTGTTTTCAGCTCATGTTTTGAATTGTCAAAGATATCAGAATATTTGCAATATTTCAATTCTTACAATACGCCATACGTTTATTAAACAGCTTTGCCTATTAGTTATCAACAACTGTATTAATAATTATTAACAATAATTATTTTCTAATCTGAAGTTGTCTGTGTATTTTAGGTCTCTAGCCTGTTCAGTGATGCATACCCAAAAATGAAGTCAGCATCTGGAGGCTGGCTTCTGTACAAAGCAACTGGTATGATCTGTGCAGTAACACAAAGGGACCTGTTTTACATTATCACACAGTGCAAATAGTTTTGTGAATTTCATTTGTTTATGTACATTTTAAAACATAAGAAGATAATTTTTAGAGTTATTATTGCATGAAAGTCTTGCTTTATTATTATTTTTATTGTCAGTTTATTTTAATATGTATTTTTTTTTTTTTCATTTTGTAAACAATCTTAGAAGGAACTATAATAACAAAGTAGCACTTGCATTTTTATTTATTCAGGTGGACAGGGAAGACGAAGGTTAAATTTAGTTCCTCCGGAGTCTGAAGGATACAGTGGCAGCACAATTAGAAGTGCAACTGCAGGGGGAAAAACAATGTTGTATATTGTTCCTTTACAATATGAGTTTGACCTGTCACCACTACCATCTGATGCCCAGGAGTTCTCTCAGATGCCTAAAGCTGAATGTAAGAAATGCTTCAAATCTATGCCACTACAGATTCTTGCTCTGCACATAAAGGAATGCAACACTGCTGAATATGAGACACTTACAGACTCAGAACCAGAGGTAAGATAAGTTGTTTAAATAAACCTAATGAGTATTCTGTAAAATTCATGTGGAAATATGTCAAATGTTTTGTCTATTTCTAGCTGTCCAATCTACCTCCTGATTCACCCGATTTATCTCCTGCTACTGAAGAAAAGGTAATCACCCAGTTGCTTGGGTTGACATTATTCTTACTTCTTTTAATGTGGATTTTACATCATTACATGCTTTTTAGTCAACAGAGGCAAAGTGTCCTGTTTGTCTGCAAAGTTTTCCTGTGATGGAGTTGGAGCTACATGCCAGTTTTTGTGGCGATTTAGATAGGTAATGGTAATGCTATGAACAGAATCAACAATGTAATCTTGTGGTGCATTATGTGATATGCTGCCTATGTCCTGTTAGTTAAAGATTATGAATGTTCCAAGTTATGTTTACAGTACATAGCAGTTGACATTTGTGGCATTGTGCATATTAGTTTCTTATTAAATCAAAAATGTTTGTTTTACATAACCACTGGTTTACATTTTCACTGGTAAATGATTGCATTCTCTCTTTAGTCCACTTAACTGTCCAAGCCCTGATGTAATGGAGCCACAAAAAGAAGAAATGTCATGGTAATTGTATGCAATATTTTAATTAATAAAGTACTTTTAAAAATAACTGGTATATCACAATGCTGTCTAAAACACTCTTATTTTTTTTTACAATTTGACAGTGAAGAGGATGTACTGCGATGGATAGCTGCACGTGTTGACACCACTAAAGAATTTAGTATCTGTGTGTCCAGAATGAACCTCTTAGAAAGAGGTATGTCACTGTGGAAGCGTCAAAAGCTCAGCTCCCCAATCAATACTTTAAAAGTTACATTCTTGGGAGAGGCTGGAGTTGACACAGGAGCTCTGCGTAAAGAATTTCTGACCGGTGAGGATTTTTGCATCTGATACCTTTGATCACAAAACATTTGCAATGTTAATTAATATGTTCTGGTCAGATTGTTTGGTGTCTTCATATTGGAATTTTGCTAATTTTTTAACTATAGAAATGATTAGTGGTATAGAGACTCGGCTTTTCGAAGGAGAGGATGGTAAAGGAAAAATGCCAAAGTACTCAATAAATGACCTTGACAATGGCCTATTTCGGTAAGTGTCATTAAAGAAAGTTAATAGAACATGGTTTGGATTAGACTTGCATGAGGAATTTGTAAATACAGGAAATTAAGTACTTCTTTTTTTCTGTAGATAAATATAAAGGTGTTTTTTTTAACATTATCTTATCTGTTGTATTACACTCTCTAGTGCCATACAACACAAATAACAAAGCATAGAAATGGCTCCTACAATGAGTTGAAAATGTACTTGCTGACTGTAAAAGTTGTATTTCACAATTTTGTTGTTATTGTTATAGAGTTGCTGGGGAAATATTTGCCGTAAGTCTCGCGCAAGGTGGTCCAGCTCCACGATTTTTACAGGAATGGTGTTACAATTACCTTCTAAGTGGAAACCTTGAAAACATCACGGTGGATAATGTTAATGACATGGAATATTCACCACTGATTAAATTGGTATATCTGAAAACAATTTGTAATTCTGTAGTTTATTTCTATTGCCATGTACCTTTTATAAATGTTTCAAGAAAATCTTCAATTCTGTCTAGATCGAGGAGACTTCAGACCTGTCGAAATACAGTGATCAAATAATGAGCTGTGGCTACACTGGCCCTATAAATGAGCAAAACAAGGAGAATATAAAGAGGTATCATGTTATGCATTCCTTAAGTCTATATTCTAAACAATGCAAGTTTAATAATGAGATTGTAAAACAATGTTTGTTTCTGTTCTATAAAGAGCAATTGCAATGCATGCCGCTGCTCGACGGACTCATGTGCTTCAACAGCTCCGTGAGGGTCTCCAACTTTACCATCTAGTGGATATCATGGAGAAGAACAAAAAAGTTTGCCGTAGCCTCTTTGTTTTTGAAGGTGGCAATGATCAGGTGAGGTGCATAACTTTTGTAAAAAATGTTGAAGCAGTGGTTCTCATTTCAGGTCTTGGGGGCCCACTGTTCTGGGCTGCGTTTTCCAAAAGTATTGTAAGTTGATGTTAGAACCAATGTTACCAATGGAACTATGATCAACTTGTTTTTTTTTTACACACCTGATTCAGGTCATGAGCTTGTTATGAGACCACTCCGTGAACTAAACCAAGTGTGTCAGATGAAAGAAACATACAAAATGTGCAGTGGGTCTGCAGAACTGGAATTGAGAACCACTGTGTTAGAGAAAATATTTGAATGCTGCATACAGAATGCTCTTTAGATGATGTCTTTATTCCCCCTCTTAACTTACCTTATCATCTTTCTTGTTTTTCCAGGTGGACTCTCAATACATCGTATCACATCTTGACCCCAAAATGAGTGAGAGTGGCACTCTGAAGCACAGCAAAGAAATGCAAATCTTGAATAACTTCCAGGATGTTCTTATGGAACTCGAAGGTAAGTTTGTTGTTATTCCAAAACGTTTGAGAGGCAGATGCTTATTTTTAGAGCTTAAATAGACAATGTATGTTTACTGCCCTAGATGGAGATCCTGAGGATGAGGAGGCACTTTGTGTGTCAAAAGTAATGCAGTGGCTGACTGGTCAAGCACACGTGCACCTGCTTCTTTCAGAAAGACAAGCTTTTAAAATCACTGTTCTATTTGACCATACATGCATGGAACGTATGCCAGACCACAGAATTTGCTACCCTGTGGTCAGTGCATGCACCCAGACAATCACATTTCCCACTGCACATTCAACAAGTTTAAATGAATTTAAAGAGAACATGAAAATTGCAGTGCAACAGGGAGCTTACTTTTACAGGGTTTAAAACAGATTTGTTAATATACTCCTTTGTCCTTTTAATTGGACTTGGAGCTTTTGAAAAAAGAGAGAGACACTACACTTAATCATTTGTTTTATTTTCGAAAGAGTGGCTTATAAGATTTCAAAACATTGTTATGACGTAAGTTTTACATAAACATTACATGTGTATTCTTGTAAATTCAATTTCTGATGGAACTACATGTGTTTTTGTATGTTTTTCTTGTTAAAAGTGAATTGTTAAATAAAGCAGTCTTTGAATAATATCAAGTGACTGGACATAGAGCTCTCGGTTATTCAAAGATGATGTCAAGGGATCAATTAATCCCTGCAGAAGAGCAAGGCTCTGTTCAGATAAAGGGCATTGGATCTCTGGAACCACCACACCATCTTCTGGGTCAGTATCAGTTTGCTGTTGGCACAAATGCTCTAATGTCTGCAAAATCAAAGAAACATTAAGTAGGTGAAAAAGTTGCCAGCTCTTTTGAAATAATGTCAATGATTTTTTATGTTTAAATCTGGTTTTAAGATGTGTTTTTAATTTATACCCATCACAAGTGATAAAGTTAGGCAGATTTACAAAGAAGTCTGCTACCATGCTTCTGAAGCGCTTTTGTTGTAATAAAGACATTACGTTAAATACCGTAAGATCCACACAAAAATAATTTAAAATTAAAAAAAGAAATGAGGGTGATGAAATTAAGAATTTTAGAGATGAACAAAGAATACCTCTACATCTGGCTCAGTCACTGGTGTCTGCAACTTTCCAATGTACCAAAGCTGATTTGGTGAAAGATTTCTTTCGGTTCTGATAGGATGGTTGTTCCAGCTCCCAATTAAGCACTTCAGGTCAGATTTCAGCCGTGGAAGAATTGTGTAGTGCACACAAAAGAGGTGTAATTCATTTGATAAATCAAGCACTCCATCTTCTACCATTGCATGCAGGATTTCATAATATTTTGAAGTGACCGCTGACCAAACATCACACCACAGGCGCTCAATTCTTAAAAAAAAAAAAGATTTTTGTTTAGTATGCTTACAAAACAGCAAACAGACTATGGTATAATGTAATGCCACACATTAACATGTCCGAAAAAATGTTATCAAGCTAGTGGTTGTTGGACCCCAACAAAAATAACATAAAATAGCACCTTTGATTGTGAACGCTTTTTCCGGCAATGAAGCTACCTCGACCAGTTCCTCGTACTGAGAACATGCAACGCGCAATGTCCACATTTTCAACTCCCTGGTCACCACGTACTCTGGAAAAGATTTAGGGAATATTCATTTAAAGTTAGGTTTCATTCAAAGAAATATTTGCAACTGGATATTAAAGTCATTAGCTTTGAAAATGTATAAACATAGGTCACTTTTTGTAAAAACAGAACACTGCAAGATTTAAAAACACCATAACTTACATTTGTGAAGTATTCAATATATTAAAATTCACTCAGTTCTTTGAATTTGCTTTGTGCAAATATAGTACCACACACTGATATCACACAACATGCAGTTAAGATGTTGACTCTAAAAAAAGACTAAGATATTACATAAACGACACGTATTAACAGTGTTCTTACCTTGAAGGCCACCCATGTTTGTGAACACCCTCCAGGAAGAATAAGAAAGCAGTTGATGCCTTGTTATTTTCAGCAGCATCAAGGTATAGGATCTATAAAAAAGGGGGTTCAGGAGAAACATTTAAATATACATTTTAAAAAATTCACTTTAAACATACATTGTACAGACCAGTGTTGCAAGCAGTATCACATATCTATTTTGCCCAGTTTCTCAGACAAGGCTTAAGCCTTGTCCCAGATTTCTCTCTTCTGCTGATCATTAATGAAGATATTTTTAAGAATGTTGCAAACCAAACAGTTGACAGCAGCCACTGATTTCCAGAGTAGCTCCTGTAGATCTGTAATTAAAGCTCCTAGATGTTGACTGATGATTTCATGCAGTAATCGCCAAAGTTCCAGTTCTTGCTAAGCAGTATCCAGGAGGTAATCCAAATGTAACATCAATGCCTACCATCAACTGTCTGTTTACCCAAAATATCTTCTTTTGCATTCAGCAGAAAAGAGAATCTTAGGGGCCATTTACATTATAACGATAACTATAAAAAATAACGTTTTGAAAATCTTTCATAATTCAGGAGAATAGCAGGGTTCACACCATAACTAAAACGATAATGATACAGAGAACAATATCTTTGGGATCACTTTCAAAATTTCTTCCAGCTGATGAATGATAAAACTATACTATCAGACATTTTTTTGCCCGGTAACATTTGACTATTGGTGATCGTGCTGCGGGTTTTATGTCTGAATTAAAGACTGTAGTGGTCAGAAAGCAGTGTGTTTTCTGTGAGATATTATATATGTAACACTTGACTTAAGCAAGCTGGCAAAATATATGCTTTACAGCTTGGACAATTGAGCATACCTTCAGCCAGCAGAGAGAGAGCATCCAGTCTTTGCTATCATATTTTGGAGAAAAGACATTTGGAAATAAAACGAAAGCTTCAGCAGCAGGTCATCTATATTCATTTTAGTGACTGGGAACACTGCAACGCACAGGCGTAAAATAAACAATGTTACTGTTTTTGTTCACTGGTGTAGATGCATATAGAGTTAAAGTTACAGTTATCGTTATAATTATTGTTAAAATGTGAACGGCCCATTACAGGTGTTTAGGTTTGGAACAAGTGGAGGCTACGTAAATTATTTTTGGGGAAATTTCCCTTTAAGTTTCAAAACAGAACAAAGTCAAAGCTTGACAAACAGTACCTTTCTTGAGAAACCATCAATCCCACCAAATATCACAATATTGAATCTAGAAAACAAAAATATAAACAAAAGACTATGCTGTTTGTTTGCAGTCATTTTGTTTAGGGTATTTCTGAAGGCATGTTTAATGTGTGTACATGTGTCATTGTATAATGGAAAAGATTAGATTTTCTGTATATGTGTACGTGCAAGTGTGCTTACGTGATTAGCTTATGATTGGTGTCCACATGAACTAGGGACAATGGTGCAGGGACAGAGTAACTTCTGCGAGCTATAAAACCAAGCTGAACCATTCTGGCCAAAATTCCAGCTCCATCCACCCGTTGCATAGATGCCTTCATTCTGTTCCACTGTATCCGGTGCCCTCTAGCCAAAAGCTCCCCTTTCATTAGTCTGTAGCCAGCATGTGGCATTCTTATTTTTATTGATCTCACAACATGATCAAGTTCTTCATCTGATATGTTGGAATAGCAGTCTCTGACAGACAGGGCGTGTTCCTTCAATCTTCTGTTCATTGTTCTTCTGGAAACGCCACAAATCCGAGAAAGATGCTCTACAGGGAGGGCAGTATGAAGGAGTTCCTCAAGGTCCTCTCTTCTGATATCCAAACGGGGGCGCCCCACGTTTCCCCAAGTGCAGGTTACAATATCAGATGCAGTTGTTGAATTTTCTTCAGAACTTACATTTACATTAATTATGTTTATTAGCTCCTGTAGACCTGTAATTAAAGCTTCTGGGATGTTGAGATGATTTGATGCAGTAATGGCCAAATCCAGTTGCTGTTTAGCAGTATCCAGGAGGTACTCAAAGTCTAAAGTTTCATTCCGAGAAATCAAGTTAAACTTTGTCCGCATACGCTGTAAAATGTCTTCTTGCACTTGTTGCTGCAGGAATAAACATTACCAAGTAAGCATTAATGTGTAGTTAAAACATTTTTGAACAGCTCCTAGAACATTTAAGCCAAGGTAAGGACTAACAAACCAGTTTTACCATAATTAAGCTTTAGAATTTATATGCAATCATTCAGTGCCTACCTGGAAAAGTGACATTTGTCTTCGGTCCTGACCAAGTAGCATTAAAAGAAAAGAAGGCAATTAGGCAATATCTATTTATATTGACATCTAACGGTTATACACTGTATCTTGATATACATTACACATTTTTACACAATAAACCAAAAATGTATAACGTTTCTAAACACAACATTTAAACAATAAAAGTGTTTAAAAAGCCAGAACTGTTGCACACTGTACATGAATAAAACTTTTATTGTTGTTATTGATAAAAGTTACTTTAGCAACACGAACTTACTTCAAGCTGCCCTGAGGGACAAGCTGAGGTGGAAGATGATGGCACCGCTCCGTGTCTCTCCCGGGAGGTCATCTTTAGAAACTAAGAGACGACCGTAGGTAAAATGCTAACATTAATACTTAACATAAAGCAAGACGTATTGCACACCGCAACAACTTTCCGATATGCGCGCCACTGACGTCACCGTCTGTGCTTCCGGGTCAGAGAGCAACTGTCCATCAAAAGCTCATTAGCCAATCAGTGTAGATCGCTGTTAAGCCCGCCCCCACGAGAAGTTTGTGCCAAAACAGCAAACGAAAATTTACGAAGCGTAAGCGAAAACTGTGGCAACGCATTCAAAATCCATGATTCACGAAAACGATTCTTTGAAAATCATTAACAAAGAATGAAGCATATTTGAAGAGCATGTTAAATTCGTGCGACTGAGTTCATATTTTTGTTTTCATTGTGTTTTTCTTCTTTTTGCAGTGGCATATTTTTGATCGTTTCTTGGAAAGTTACGTTCAGTTTTAGAAAGTTATGTTCATTCTTATTGGCACAAAAATGATTCCATAGAAACAGCAGTCAGCATCTTCACAACACAAAGAGATGTGTGATTGTCCAACTGTGTGATGTGGACTATTGCTGTGTTTGTAGATTGTCTGGCTGTATGGTGACAGAGGAAGGCTGTGGTTTTCTGTCCTCAGCTCTGACTTCAAACCCCTCACACCTGAGAGAGCTGGATCTGAGCTACAATCATCCAGGAGATTCAGGAGTCAAGCTGCTCTCTGAACAACTGGAGGATCCAAACTACACACTGGACAAACTCAAGTATGTGGAGCAGCACTGCCTTTTTTATTGTGAATACAGATACTTTGATACTTCACTGCTCTTCTAGTGTCCAGATATTAATCAAACCTGTTAAATATGTCAGTGCACTGGGGCAGTTCTCACATTAAGCGTGATATTATATCTCATATTAACACTGTACTGTTTCAGCATTGTAGTTGAGCAGTGAAACTTGTTCTCTACATTTCTGCTGAAGAACTGTACAGTATCAGCTCAGAGATGTGTGTGTACTGTTCTCCAAATACGTCCTGTGTATACTTTAACAGCAAGTTAAACTCTCCCTCATGAACTTCACAGACACAGAATGTCCTTTATCACACTTTAATAAGGGCGGAGCAAAAC